CGATCTAAAGAGCGCCACGCCCGCACCGTTTCCGAAGCCGGCCGTGTGTCAGTAACGCAAGTGGTTCTTAATCAAGAGACTTCACAGTATGGGAACAAAGGAAGCTGGATCCTCCCCTTAATGCATCCTAGCTGGTGTCTGGTGTACCTAAGGCTAGGTGCTACAGCTGGAATTGCTGTAAAAACGCAGCTCAAGCTGAAGGAGACTGCCGCTGCAGCTGGAAAGGGAAGAGGGGAAAGCCTCTTTTCTCAGCCTGAGAGGGGCCACGAAGGAGCAGCCCCTTTGCTGCCAGACGGGTGCTCAGGAGATTCTGAACTCGCATTCACCCACCTCACCTACAGCTGTTCTCAGTGCTGGAAAACCCCGGCCGGAATTACCTGCTCTGCACCAACCACATCGACATCAACGTCTTCGACTGAGTCTTCTGCTTGACCCTCCTCTGAGACACCTTCTGTCTTAACTTCTCCTTTGCTGAGGGGGGGAGAAACAAAAGCTGAGTCTCGAGAAACTCCGCCACGGCGGTTTGCACGTTGCAGCAGAGTGCCTAAGGCAGAGCAGCTCGCACCTTAGGGGCTGCTGCCCAGACACCCACCTAAGGTAGCCCAAAGGTTCTGGCCCAGTATTTCCCAGCTATGAAAGAGGTTATGCTCTGCAGAATTTCCCATAGAGCAGTTCAAAACCAAAACATTCCTTAAAACGGGGGGCTACCTTCGTGTTTAATACATTTCTGTTCTATCTTACTCGTGTTCACCAGGTCCATTCCATGAGTGTCCCAAAGCCTGGAAAAGCATGCAGCTTTCTGGGATCTGCGTTTCATCTTTTAACCTACCAACACGGGAAATGGCACCTACCACCCCAACAAATGAACAGTATCAACGGAAAATACCCCAACAGAGCACTTTTGGGGCAAAAGTAGCCTCCAGACTCCGCATTTCTGCAACCCCTCCCCTGTATGCGAGCTCTGTGGGGTTGCAGCGGGAGGCGCGCGCATGCTGCAGGCAGACGTGCCCCTCTCGAAGCCAGCAGTGACGTGGTAGGTCACGGCAGGTCTGCAGAGACGAGAATCCTCTCCCACTTCCAGAGGGCAGAAAACACTCGTCGTGCATATGCAGCAAACAGCCCTGGCGTAACCAACACCGCAGCCCTCTGGTCAGGGGCAGAGACAGGAGGCCTGGGACAGGGAACCCTCCTCCTTCCTTGTCTTTGCCTTTGCACACTTGGTATTAGTCCCAGAAGGCAGAGAAGCCCTGGGACCCGGAGGGACAATCAGGCTAAAGCAGCAAATACAGATATGGGACTGAGGAAACACAAACAACCCGTCCTTGGGACACAGCTGTAAGAAAGGCAGGAGGGGCTTTGCCCATGGAAGTATTACAAAAATCAGGAGCAGAGGTGGATAGAGAGACCCCAGCTGTCAATACCAGGACAAGTGAAGGAGCTCGTAGGACATAAAACTCTCACCAGTCCCTTCTCCGCAGCTCTCCTGGACAAAGGAATGGCAAACATCCTTGCAAGGGCGTCTCTCGAGACTTTAGCCTCTTCCTGCTTTTCCCTGTTGCCGAGGCCAGCTGGGAAGCATGCTGCAGGTCTGGAGTGCTGCTTGCTGCCTCAGCGTGGCTGGTTAGAGGCAAAGACCCTGGAACAGACAGGGAACAGACTCATTGGTTAGCCCCAGCCTCAGAGGTCTTGAGATGGACATGTCCAGAGCGTTCCCCGCAGCAGTGCAGCAGCAGAATCCAGCTCAGAGAGAGATTTGGAGCGAAGCATTCATTTATTGAATGAAAAAAACCAATCTAATTTGGCACTGGTCATTTTTGCAACCTAGATTTATGATCTCGGTCCCGGTCCGTAAGTGCCATCCATACTGCTGGAGTCTGTGTAACCCTCAAGAAAGGAAGGCCCTTGGGACACAAAGGAACAAGCTTTCTGAAGTCAGGTCACTGCAAAAAACATTTCTGAGAAAGGATGAGGGAGAAACTAAAGGAGGCTCTGGAAAAACTCCCTTTCCTCCACATGCAAGTGCACATGTTTGTAGCACGTACCATTTCTGCCGGCAATTGTTTTCATCACGGCTTTAAGGCGCTTAAGTCCCACCATATCCACACAGTGAATTCCTCGTTACGGACTGTAAGTCCGAGATCTGCTAAGGCCTGGATGCAGCCCACCTAACTGTAACTCTCTAAGTTAGAGTATAACCTTACAGGCTCCCTAGGACTTCAACAGAGAGAAAGACCCCATGTGCTGGTTTTGGTCAGGACAGAGTTAATTTGAATAAGATTTGCCCCGGATCACCTGGGCTGAAGATCTGAACTAACTTCTGGAAATACCTCTCCTGTCTCAATTATCTACCGGGCTGACAGCAACGACGCCCTTAACGCGACCGTTGAAAGCAACGAACCAAGTCCCAGTGGCAGAGACAAATGCCAGAGCAGAAGTGAAGACCACCTGAACTCGGCTCGCCCCGCGTCTCCAGACCAACCTTACTGTCGCTACATGGAGAGGAGCCCGTTAACACCACCGCAGCGGAAGGCAAAAACCACAGTTCAGGCGGCAAAGCCCACAGCATCCAAGGCACCGTGGAACTGCTGATGCACAGCGTGAAGTGCGCTTTGGCTGGGCCAAAGCAAATACAGCTGATCCGGAAGAGGGGAGGTTTCGTACCGTTAGACAATTTTCTTTTGAAAGAAGACGTCTTCGATGTGCCCACAGGGGACCACTCTCCCAGGCTGCCGAGGACAGAGGTCTCCTCATCTTCATTTTCCAGTAAGGAGTTTCTGTACCAGACCAACGGCTGCCACTCGTCTCCTCTGCAAGGCAGTGGTTCTGCCACGTACCTCTGTAAGTAAGCGTACCTGGAGAAAACCGACCGCCAGCATGAGAAAACTCAGCAGCTTTCCCCTCAATACCCCAGGAAGGCACTGCCAGGAAGGCATTTTCCTCTCCAAAGGTGCAGACAGAAGGGTTAAAGAAAACAAAAGGGCATCCCTCTTTCAGAAACATCCGACATCTCCGAAATAATCTGTATAATTAAAATGCAAATGCCTTCAAAGCTGAAGAGCCCTTTAATTTTAGCATTAGAAACAACCCTAAACCCACAGGAATTACATACAGCGTGACATCAGTCTCTAGGAAGAACTTCCCGTGCAGGACACGTGCCACCGCTGCTGGCAGGAGCGGAACCCTTCCTTCTCCTGCCTGGTGGCCCGGCCTGCATGGACGGCAACGTAAAGGAGATCCCAGGGGAGAGGTGCTCCTTGTGACACAATAGCACAGCCGGTTGGGAAACGGGGTGTTTACGCCATGAGCGCCTGTCCTGTCACAGTTTTTAAAAAAGAACCACCAATAAACACACTTTTCTTTAGTATCACCTCAAACTCCATCCAGTTCTCTCAGGCTCCCGGTAAAACGTCAAGAGCCTGCAAGAGGCAGCTAACAGCTCTGCAGTTATGACAAGACATGGGATGTGGGATACGTTGGCTCCAATCCCTGTTCTGCCTGGCTCAATCCAGAGACTTGACACGGGGCCTCCCTGAATCCCGGTGAAGCTATCAACTTTTCTGGAGCGGAGAGGTCTCCTTCCAACATTCTTCGTGAGAAGCAGGACACCTCTGACAAGGTCTTATGGATCCCCTCCTGCTTCGTAACAATCAGAAAGGCAAACCCGCGCCCGACTCCGGGTTAGACGCTGGACATGCCCTGCATTTCTGCTACAGCTCCTCACTTCAACGTCAGCCCAGTGCTGTTAGAACAGACCCCACCTCGGCAAACATCAGGAGCAACGGTTTTAATGCCAGCCGGAGGGGGTGCGTTATTCTTTCTCCGATTCGGACCGTGGCCTGGAAAATATCAGACATTTTGTTTGCTCTGCAAAACAAGAAAACGGGTGCTGGGAGGAGGTGAGGGGAAGCGCCAACTCTGAAACAAGTAGAGTCACGGACCCCAGGGATCAAGAAACCCTGGTAATGGAATTTGTTGGTTTCGAACAAGCACTTATTGTAACTACTGTTTCAGGGCCTAATCCAACTGCTATCAATGTCAACGGAAAGCCGCCTGCTGATCTGGGAATCGGGCCCTTCGCGCTGCTTGTTATTCAATAACTCACCTCTCATGTGCGTTCTGAGGCACAGAGCAATTGACAAGTCAGATATTTTACTGCTACGACCTTGGGCAATTACAGGGGAGGAGGTTAAAACCCACAGACTTTGATGGTGTTGAAATACTCTCCCTCCTAACAAACGCCCACATTCTGTATCTCCTCTGTTACAGGTACATTCACACATGTTAGCATGCAGACCTGGACATCAATCCTGTGATTAATAATAAAAATGAAAATAACCAGATGTTTGTTTCTGAAAGTTCATGTTGACCTAAAACATTCCATCCAGTAATTTATGATGGAGCTAAACCTAAATATTTCTAAGAGGAAATATAATCTCCAGCCCCTGCAAGGCATTTTAGGCCTCCCAGAATAGAAACTGTTACTCTAGAAACACGGACTGTAGGTAGTTGTGGATAAAATTGCCATTTCCCCCCCTTGTGAATTTTATTGTTTCCCATTTGTTTCCAGCAGCAGTGGGAGGGTCCAAAGCAGTAAGAACTGAAGCCAAAGACCATTCCCTGCTAGGTTCTGTATTTCCCACAAAAGTTTTCGATGAATAAACCTACCTGAATGTATCTAATACATTCAGGAATATGCTTCTGGAATATGTCCACTGGTCAAGTAGTTAAATATAGCCCTAGGAAAAAAAATCATCAGGATTTAGCTTCAGATCTGCCCACGTTAATGATGAAATGTTCTCCTCGTTTAACTAAAAATCGCTTCTTGGAGGTAAATGAGATGACGAGGTTTTTCAGGAATGGATTAACAGACACCGACTTACTGCACAAGTGTCACCACACAGATGGGAACAGCTCTTTAAAATCCAGGCAACACGGACAGGGTTGTACAGAAACTGTACAAAACCAATTCTAGTCACACACAAAGGTTCTCTCTGACAAAAAAAAGCAAGAACAGAACGGGAAGTTATCACTACCCCTAACTTATCCGCTTTAGATTTACCAGGGGTTGTAATCACTCTATGTCAAATATTTTCCTTCCGTACTTTGCATTTTTGGTTTGAATCCCTAAATATTTTGTCTGGGTCACTGGCAATTGTTAATAAATTGTATTTGCCACGTAGAGTAACATAAAAGTAGGCATTTTACCGCTCCTGAGCCCTGTTATATAAAAACTGGTTGATGATCCCTGTGGAAGTTAACCTCTAATTTAAGACTAAGTGGCACAGGAGCAAACAAGTTACACAAAGCTCAGCAAGATGTAGTTGTTGGTTCTTTGGGGTTTTTTATTCATTTCTGCTGACTTCGTCTCCAATAGGTAACTTTTCCTTTCAGGTACTGCAGTGATTTGCTCAGAAATTCAAAAAGGCAGATGTGCCGTAATGTTTCATCTTACATTCCCACGTCCCCATTTACGCTCTCAGGAAAATGAAAATAGCTGTTAACAGTTTTGCAACATTTTTTTCAGTATCTGTAAACAGAAGACTGAAGTGCAGAGATCCAGACCCAAAATAAGCAGCAAATAGAAGGAAGGTCAGAGAGAAAGAACATCACTGTCTTCCCAAAAATGACTGGAGTCGAGGCAGGTGAAGCAGGCAGGAAGAGACATAACCATGCCTCTCTCTGTTCAGACGCCAAAACAAGGCTGTCTTTCTTGTATTGTTCAGTGTAAATATTTAAACCATGGTAAAACCCAGGGGCCCAACTGGATCAGGGTGTATTCCCCTGCGAATAGTACATTACTGAATTTAAATATCGCCACTATGAATAGTATCATCTATGCTTTTATTGCAAATACATTCCACGAAACTCAGGTAATTCAGTCCTGAAGAGATGGAATTAGACCATTACAAAATAAGGATGCAGGCATTACCTCCTCCTCAATCTCTTCTGTCTTAGTTCTCTGTTCCAAAAAGCATCCCTGGCAGTCCCCTAGCCAGTCAAGTTGCAAATCTCTTCCACCAAGTTAACACTGTCTTTCCCTCAGAAGAATTGCCACATGTGGCCACAACTCGGCCTAAAACAAGACCCAGAAGGCATACGGCACATACAGTCTGAAATAACTACTACAAGGAAATCCAACAAGTGTCTCTCAAACTAACAGCCCCAGGGAAATTTCAAAAGTTCTCTGAAAAGCCCTTGAGCAGCTTCTGCAACACCAAAGGTCAAGCGTCGCACGTGCAGGGACACACAAAACACAAGCTGTGCATGACTGTACAAGAACTTAACTTACACTAGTCGTTTGTCAGGCTTTAGCAGCTTGCTGGAAAACTCACTGATGATTATCAGAAAGCTCAAGTTAGGAGGCAAGCATTTTCCATCTACTCCCATAGCTCCTTGAAAAGCAAATTCAATCCCTTCCCTGTTGGATATAAAAACAGAGAGCAGAGTAATGAAACAGATGACAGACAAAGGCAAGGACGGTGGACAAAGCGATGTCATGTGGCACATACTTGTGTATCATAGCTACAGATTCTCTAGATTTCACCTGGTCCCAGCCAAACGTTAGTGAAAAGCGACGAGCGAGTTCTTTCATATTTGTGAAGGAAGTGCAGGAGAAGTCCAAACGGCTGCTGCCCTCCTGGCTTTCTGCATGCGTCTGAAACAGCTGCAAAAGAAGTTCAGATAAGCAACGATACGTAATCCTACAGGCAAGCAGAGCACCAGGAGGACAGACAGACACGCTCAGCAAGCAACAGGTAGCTTGCACAGGCAGAAGCCTTGCGAAAAAGCGGGTAAGTTATGTACTTCAGAAGCACCCGACTGGAACAATGGCAAGGAACCGACGCAAGGGACGCTGCTGTGCTTAACACACAGGCACAAAATAAAAATCATAGAACCACAGATTCACAGAAGGGTTTGGGTTGGAAGGGACCTTAAAGACCATCTAGTACCAACCCCCCTGCCATGGGCAGGGACACCTTCCACTAGACCCGGTTGCTCAAAGCTTCCTCCAGCCTGGCCTCGAACACTTCCAGGAATGGGGCATCCACAGCTTCTCTGGTCCCATGTATAGAGACCTACTGCTGCATCTTTGTTGTTTGAGGTCAGAGCTCATGCTCCAATACTGTTATATACTCAGGGTCACTACAGGCCCTTGTAAAAAGACAAGGAGAAAGACAGGGAGAAAGAAAGAGAGAGAGCGTGGTGTCCGTACACAGAGAACTGATTGCCGGAGATGATGCCCCCATTGACCCCATCTCCTGTTGGGAATTCTGAATCAAGCTCAAGAGGTGTAATTGGCCTGAGAGGATTTCAGATTATCAGAATCCAGCTATAAAGCAGCATGTTTGGCAGCAGCACAGTCCAATTTCTGAGAGTGAGACTGGGTCAAAAGCAAGTCTCAAGCCAAATTACCTGTTTTGGGTTTGTTCCCTAACAGAATATGGAGGTAGCTTGTTCCCTTCAACCTGTTATCTCTCAAGGTCAAGCAAAGGCCAAAAAGGGCCTGTTGTCTATGTGATACCTAAACACAAAGTCCTGACTATGTCAGCAGAATAGATGTAGCCAAATGCTGCTTTAGCCCCTTCTAAGCTCAGATTTCAGAGGCTAGTTCACAGATCTAAGCCCCTGGCAATGTCTGTGAAATAAGCGACGCTCATGTATCAGCACCCCCCAGTGAGGAGCCCGCTCTGTGGCTTAGAGCACGACTCCAAGCCAGAAGCAGCTCTGGTCAGGGGCAGAGCCGGCAAAAGCAGCTGCTAAAATAGCTAACCGGCCTCAGCAGCCAGCAGCTGCAAGCCCCAGCAACTGAGGCCCTTCAGCAGAGCTGCACCCTGCCTCCTTACAGAAAAAGATAGTGGAAATACTGGGGATTGGAGCTGGTCAGACACACGTGTGGTTCCTCAAATTCAGCAGAAATTGGGGCAGACCATAAAACACTGACTAATATCCTTAAGCTTTGTTAAGGTTAAGAGGCACCTACCGTGTCCCAAGAAACACTCGGTAATCTCACATCAGTCCTAACACACTTGAAGATTAAAAACAAGACAAAAAAATCATGCCCAAAATTACATTTTAAAACAGATTTAATGCTTGGGAAGGAGTTTTAATTCTGATCTGCAAAACCAACATACACACAGAAAGCACAGGCAAGGAAACGATTTCTTCCACCAGGATTTTAATGAACTGGAATAGTTATGGCCAGGTTGGTAAAAACTCCAGGATGAATGCCCCTGTCATAAGATCTTCTTTGCTTCAATCTTAACTTACCTGCTGCAGACAGAGAATCAGTGTCTTCGCACTCTGAATTTTGTTATTGTGCCTCGTCCTGCTTAATGTTTCTTTAATTATGTCCCCAAAGTCATTGTAGGTCTGTTGAGAGCAACAAAACAAGTGAGAATTATCATTCCCCTTCTTTAGCACTGGGAGTACACAAAGCACATAAGCGTGCTCATGTCACACAAGAAGTTCGTAGAACACTCCCAATATCAGAACACCCAAGCTAAAAGATGAAAACTGGACCTTTTGCATTATTTCCTATGTAAAGCAATGGTATGTTCCTGTAAGAGGATTAAAGTTACACTGAAATTGTTACACATCTATTGTAACAAAAGAACAAAACCTCTTCAGGAGAGAGAGTTTTCCGTATTTAATCAATGCTGGCCTTGGGCCCAATGAAGTGAAGACTAAGATACATATTCAGGTAATTCCAAAATCCTGTTGGCTGACTCAAGGCAAGTCCCGCTCTGTGCTGTTCTTGGCCCTCCTGAAACCCACTTCAGAGGGGCTGCAGCTCTACCAATTGTCTAAGCACCGGGACCTGTGTGAAATCTAGGCCATCTGCATATGGACTGTGTGAGCTGTGTGCAGGAAGCTGACCGCTTCGATGTCAGCACCTCTGCAGTTAAAACCAGCCACAGACTGCCTCTCTGCAACAACCTTTCAGGAGAAGCTGAGGAGCAGATATTCAGGCAGACGTACCCTCTACTCAATTTTCAGTTACTTTGTCTGCGGAGAGGAGAGATTTGTCCAGCTCTTAAGTGATTTTATAGCCCTTTTGTGACAATACAAAGATTCTGAGCCACAAGAGTATTAACCCCGCATCTTCCACAGACACCAGAGTCACTTTCAGGAACTAAAATGCACCGATAGGGCAAGCAACCTTATCTGAAACATTACCTTCACGTAATACTTGTAGATCTCAGCTGCCCCAGCCATCTCTACCACGTTATACACTATTAACTTGCAATATGCTGCAAGAAGACTCCGCTTTTTGTGCAAGTCGTCAAGTTTGCAACTTTCATCCTTTCTCTCCTCCTCTTCTGTCAGGTCTAGGAAAACAAAAGCTTTATTCTACTACTTTAGTCAAGAAATCTCAGTTTTAACGACCAACTTTCATCCAAATAGCACAGACTCATCTGTTCAGGCAGCACGCTAAGCAACAGATGCTAGCGCTCCTTCCCGGGTCTATCAGAAAAAACAGGTTTATTTTCATTTCAAAGCTTAGAGCTGATGACACTGAAAACCAGTTATTTGCACAGTCTTCTACTCTGATCTTCACAGGGCTTTCGCATTTCTACTACTCGGAATCTTCTGGTACAACAGTGCTCACAACTACAGAACAGAACCAAACAGGGTGCAGAACAAAAGGCACAAACGCACGAAAACCGGACAAACTGCAACTACGTTGTTTTTTTCCCAGAGCAATACAGATGCTAGAAAACCAGCACAGACCTCATCAGGAACCCTACAAAAGTTGCCATACACAGTCAACAAGAGTTCAGGTGAAACTCTCCAAGTGGTTATCAGCAAGAATGAAAGAAAAAAGTCCTGTCATTTCATGTCATTAAGAACATGCTAAGTCTCCGGAACATGAGTTAATTACTAGCTGGATAATGTGGAAAAGGAGCCTTCCAGCACAGCTAAGAAGGTGCCTGGGGAGAGCTCCCTGCGGCAGGAGAGCTGAGACAGACTGCATTCTGCTGTGAATGTAATCTACCAACTGCCAAAGGCTTCAGTCTTTGACCTGTAATTTTGATGTGGACTGTTTCTACTTCTAGAATGACTGTGGGCCTGGAAATGACTGATCAGAAGTACCTGCAAATGAGAGTTAAAACTAAAATGGGAGCAGCTGCCAGCGCTGCACAGAGACACACACACACGCACAGCATGACAGAATCACTCGTTCAGGAAGGAATCTGCAATGGGTTGACAGGGATCCTCTGTAAGGAGGACCGAGAAATTGAAAGCATCATACAAAAGGGGTTTGAAACAGACCTCAGGCCATCCAGCCCAAAACACGATCAACTTCATCGGCTTCAAATACGTAAGATATGAAACCTGAAACGTAACCTGCTTTACGAACTCCCATGACTAGGATACTACAACCTACTTGAGCAATCTCTTCCGCTGTGTACCTCCCCCTGCGCCATCAAGGATTCTGCTCTACTCCCTCCCTCGTTGCAACGTCAGCCCATCCCTCTTGCGTATAAGCTGTGACCTGGATAAGTGTGCTGCCCAAAACGGAACACAGAACTCCACCTGAACAGCTGAAGGCCAAGAGCTTGACACAATAATCTAGAACAACACTTGGTTTTTCAAAGAGCAACACTTGAACTCAGCCTCAAAACCACCATGAACTAACAAGCTGTTTTCAAAACACTCCCAAAAGAAACCAGCCTTCACAAGAACAGCCTCAATTTGTTATCTGAATGTGTCTGAAAAAGGCAGAGAACGAAGTACACAGCTATTTTCCACAAAATCTGCCCCACACTCCCCAAATCAAAACACACTAGTTTCTCCAGCGATGAAGAAGTCTGACCTTTGCTTTCCTCTTCTTCCTCTACGAAAACATGTTCCTGGATAAACAAAAGCAGTTTTTCCTGAAGTGATGCGTTAGGAAGATAACCTAGAAGTCCGACTGCTTCTTCATTATTATTGGAATCCTGATGACTCAAAATCAGCAACCAGTCACAGAGTATCATGAAGGCCTGTTTCAAACAAACAAAGCCAAAGAAGGATTTAGAGACCATGTTACTTTTCACGACAACTCCACTTTGCATCCTCGCCAAAACCCACAAGTCACCATCTAGCTGCTATCCCACTTCTTCCTCGCAAACTCAAGGTTTCTGTTTGCCCCAGCCTGTGGTAAAAACGCCACAGCTAAGCTTCCAGGACTTTCACCTTGGGATACAGTACATGCAAGTATCATGCATGAACACCACCTAAAGATTTTCAAACTTCCACGGGAAGGAAGAAGAGCCCTATTATGCTAGAATATCTCTCTTTTGACATGTGAATCACGGGACAATTCTTCCATTTTTTAATTTTTTGAGTAATACTCATAGTGAGGCATTAATAAAGCAACAATAGTAACCAGTACATCGACCAGTCGAATCAGAAAACACAATGATTATCAAATGGACAATGGAGTCATTCAGATTCAAGCCTTGATTCTGCAGATGGATCCATGCAGACACAAATCTATGCTTGATTAAAGCACTAACTTCTGTAGCATTTTAACTAACATAACTTTAATTTTTCTTCAAAATAAATAGTTGAACATTTTTTTAAAGGAGCTATTTCTCTGCTAAGAGACAAAAAAATAGCAAAAATCAGTAGAAGGAAATACTAGTATGAAGAGAAAGGCAGGCACTTAAAAGGAGGCCTGAGCATGAACACCAGTTAAGTGACAGTGAAACACAAACCTTTTCTCTTACATCTTTTTCCTTATGGTGGAGGAAGCACAAGCAAATCTGATTGAAATGCCTCAGCTCTCTTCTTAGTGCCAGAAGAGTCTCCTAGAAACATATTTAGGAAAAGTGTCAGGACAAAGATGTTAGGGACTATGATTCCATAGAGAATTACAGAACAAACAACAGTTGCATCTCTCTTCTGCTGATACTAGTCATTTAAGATAGCACAGCTGACGACATTCTGAAAGAAGCTGACATCCCTCAGTAGCAACAGCTAACTAGCTATGAACAACTTTTAAACCATGTCTTGTTTTGAGGTGCAGTATCTGGGACAGAAAGGTCAATCCACAGAAATACATTTTTTCCACACAGACTCTGGTGCAGATATTTGACAAATACTAGTAGGACACGTGCATCTGTCACACTTGCTAGGCTAGTGGTGTTCAGCAAGTCACAAACTCTGTTTCTCCATCCGTGGACTGGGCAGCTCTAATAGCACGTAGTCCTTTACACAGCCCTTTAAGCAACTACAAGATCTGCAAAATGCACTTCAGCTTATCCTTATAAAGCAGAGATAATGATTTCTACTTTAGAGATGGAAGTAGAGTCAGAAACACTCATCCATCTCACCTCATTTTCAATGTGAATTGCCTTCTGGTGTTGCTTTTCTCTCTCCCTCTATCAACTTAAGGGGGGAATGCAGTTTAACTACGCTAACTCTGGCACTCAGAAACTTAAGACACCTCTATTCGTTAAGATGAATCCAGCAAGAGAGACTATCTGATTTGCCTACAGCCATGGAAAAGACTTTCTGATCCTTCACCAGGTCCCAGCTGTTGCACTGCACTGAGCCCCGAGCAGTGAACAGAAGAGGAACACCCTTCCAGGAGGGCTGGATTTCATGCTGTGCAACCATATCTTTATAAGAAAGGGGATCCATGCCAGGGCATGCTGAGAAGAAGCACAGGGGGAGAGGCAAAACATTGCCTTAACGCTACTGGGGGAGAGGGATGGGGGGAAGAAACAGTTCTAGAGCTGCTGTCCAGGAAATGTTCTTTTTTGCTCTTGGTCTCTCTCTGCCAACATCCAGATTTGGCCCGGCAGAGTGGGCCGTAACACTGTGCTTCCAATCAGCATCTGTTCCTGTATGAGAAGCCAAATTAAAAACTGTGCTGCCCCACTATCAGTCAGGCTAACTGTGTCAGGCCTGGAAGGCAGAACATACTAGAGCAGTGAGAGATGCAGACATCCACACAGGAATGGAAGGGGACGGGAATAGAGAGTGAATCAGTCACCAAACGGGTAACCTCCAGGCTAGCATTTCTCACACAAAGCACATGCCCGTGTCAGCGTCCCGCTCTGCACACACAGGAGCACCGGGGGAAGGGGACAGATGACAGAACCAGCAGTACTCAGTGTAGTCAGGCACCCCCACAAAGAAGAGCCGCACAGGTACACAGCTGCACGTGAACCAAAGCATAACGGTTTTCCTCCCTGCTCTCTTACACTAGGCTGTCTTCTGGAATACCTGCCAGAGCTCGGCACTATATAAAACCGGTTGAGAACGCAAGTAGCCAGCTGATGAGAAAATTACCACTTTCCTCAAACTTTCTGCCACAAATATATAAGTAAAACGAGAAAATCAAAACAAAACAAAGCAACAGGACTTCCTGGAGTTTTCATCGAACATTCTTTGTTGCTTAAAACAAGAAAACAACAAACTCTTGGGCAGTGGAACAAGTTCCCTATCTCCATCAAGCGCCAGGAATTCGATGCACATGGTTTGCGGTAAAAATAGAGGTGAACCGCTGTTCACTCACTCTCTTGCAGACTGAAAAAGCGTAAACGGTTTTTCTAAAGAGAGGGTAAGACAGAGGGAAAATGCCTCAACTCAATTTGGTTTCCTCAAGAAAACACACAAATTATCTTCTTAGAAAGCTTGTTTTCTTCTGGCAATCTGAGAACAGAAAAACAACTTGAACTTCTAGAAGCACATCTCTGGGTTTCAAAATTACGTGGAGTGGCCAACCTTGGGGGAATTTTCCGAAACTGCAGCTAGTTGCCACAGGAGAGAAAAATACATGCACTGGAGAGCTGGCAGGATCATCTGCAAATAAAAACACATGTCCTTTATTTACATGAAAGGCTCAACAGCAAAAAGCTTAGGACTAAACAAAGCACCCAAGTCTGACATTCTGCATGCTGCTTGCGCAACCATTTCTACACTGTAAAGTATTTAGACCCTCAAAATAAACTTAACAGATCTGCATACAAGCCAACGTTGCCTCCTCAGAAACTTCATTACTACGGTGCTGCTTCTGCAGGATCCTTGGCGTCATGATGAGCTCAACAGAAAGTAACCGTGTACTAAAAAGGGTGTCCGCAGGGACTAACTTTAGCTTAGCTTCTCAGAGTTTCCCTGCAGTCTTTGGTGAACGGCAGACTCCTCCAGAGGGTAATTCAGAGCAGAATTAATCAAACCTTGGTGCTCTGATGCTCCATCTAAAGGAATCCACCTCTACCCGCTGGCTGCAGGCTCTCTCTAACCAGCTAAATTTCACCCCTTTCCAAAAAGCTTCAAGTTCTCTCCCTAAAATGGGGGCTGATTAACATTCATGACTGCTAACGCACTTCACCTTGTAATCCCAAGAAACACCTCCATCTTGGCATAGTCAATGTTTGAGTTGAAGCAACCAGACAACCAAAAGGCTGCAGTTGAGACAACTGGTAATCAGAAACCATCTTCACGAAGAGTCGATCTGCGAGCAACAGGTCCAAAGTACTCCAATTTCTGGTTACACACAATCTGTAATGGGTTCCTCACAGTCCCACGAATTTCTTAGATACTGAGAGCAAGACTATGCGATCAGTGGGAAGTACTGAGCACGGCAAAGGATCAAATCCAGATGCCAGATGACCACTGTACCATAGCACTGGATAATCTCAAAAATAAACAAACCTATGGCATGAATTTACCAATTCCAGTAACGTTATCCCAAAGACAGCCTCAGTTTCCCAGACTGAGAAGTGGAAACAGCATCTTCCTGACTCATGGGACCTCTTTCAACATTAAACAGTACAACTCACCAGAACAGGCAAACTCCCATGCTCCCTTTCAAACGCTAGCAACCTTAATGTCTTGTCATACAGATTCCACTTGGTGAGATCATGGGCACTGCAAGTGAAAAATAAACAATAAGGATACACCAAGCAAGAAATGAAATCTCACCTGACCAAACAGGTTTAATGTATCCTATTTTTGTCTGCACCTGATGTACAGCAAGAACTTTAAACAACTAATCATTAATCATAAACAGAGGGTAATGAAATTAAGTTTTTCGGTATCTGACACTGCAAACTTTAGTGCGTAGCTTTACCATCTCCACTCCTACCACAGAACAGCAGTGTCATGAGGAGAGGAAAAAGAAGCTTGAGCTCTACACCTATACTCTAGTCACATTCTCTAAGTGCCCAAAAAGATCTAAAGAACAATTTCCCCACTCCACTTGAAAAGAGTGTTTCTAACACTCCTGAGTGTTCACCACTCAACGTTAGACTTCTCTTTGCAAAAACCCTAGCACACAGGTAAAAGACACACTGAGAAGGCAGCCCAATTCCCCCACCCTCTACCATCTCACATGATGATTTACTTGGTGAACCACCCCTGGAGGACCAACCTTTTGAGAAACAAATCTTTGGAGAAAAGAAGGTCACATAAACTAAAGCAAACAAATCAGATTACATCTGCTGGGAAAAAAAGACTGCATTCACGACACCCCCTCTGCAGAATTAGCAACAGTGGTGACAGCAAGGCAGTGCAACAGCATCCAGCTGGGAGGGAGGCACCACAGAGGTGATCTCTGTGTCCGCTCTGACACTCCAACTCTGTAGCACACACTTCTTAGCCAGATTAGGACTGATGTTCCAACCGCAGTAAGGAGTCCAAAAAGAATTCCATACCCAAAAGTACAGTTCTGTTCAGAAGAAGCTCAACCTTGCAGCACCTCTCATAGGGACTTTTTTCATTCTCTTGTGCAAAATCTTATTAAACCAAACAAACAAGAGAATTCTCACTTTGCATCTGTTGACACTCAACTATATGGGAAAGTAAATTGTGTAAATAAACATCTCACTTATAAAAAGCTGCTACTCTTCTCAAGGCAAAGTGCATCCGGGAAATTTCTTCTGCATCCATACAAAATCCTTCTTCCTGAATTATGCGAGTTTGGGAAAGAGAAATTATTTAGTCAGTGTGGGGCACTATGTTCTTTTTCCAACCAACCCACAGGCTTGAATTACTCTCCTCCAGCCCTCCCCAGTCCTTTCACCTTCAATCACACTACTCATGTCTTCCTCTAGAGTAAAAAGAAAACACCACGTTGACTGCACACAAGTTTTGTATAAGGAAACGTCCCTGTCATTAATAAACCCACAGCAGCCTCCCTAGACTGCAGTATTGCTCAATCCAAGTAAAAGCTGACACAGAGGTGCTAATGCTCCGGCTCATGGGCCATTCATGGTCCCTCACACAGTTGTTAGGGATCTCTGGGAAGCTAACTGTTCACATGGTGCTGACTCTCCTTCCTTCCAGCTGCCAGATCACATTCAAAGATAGCTAAAAATATATTAAATACTTTCCCATAGATGCAATTGCTGCAGTTTCCACAAGTATACTACGTGATTATGGGAGATGGTATATACAACCAGGAATTAGAAGGGAGGGGTTCCAGGAGAAAATCTCTTTATTTAGACAGGGATCACACTATGAAGGAGTTGAAGAATCCCTGGTCTAGCACTTATCTTGTTTCTCGTAAGTACACATTCTCCCACATTGACACAGATACCTATTTAAGACCAACAAAATAAACCCAATCTGAGGTTAGGGGATTTTTTGGCTTGACACGTTTTACAATATCCCAGTGCCCAATAAAAACCTGCCAGCGTTAACTCTCATACCATGGCAGGACACCTGTTCGTGACGGCATGGTTGATCAGATCAGCTGCAGGCTTCTGTTGTTCAGTTCAGCCAGCAAGCTATTCATATCCCCACCAGCTGTTTCTGCTTTTTAGAACTAATGAAAAACTTTGAGGGAGACTCTGCAGTCCTCCTTCAAGGGGAAAGTCATCCTTTCAAAGACCTCAAAGCTATGCAATCTGCTGGTTTGGGGTTTCTTTCCC